TACAATCCTATGGCCAGGGAGTCTAGGAAACATAAACTTCATTCAGTGGCTGATCAAAGAAGAGGCAGACTCCCTTGGTTAAGTACTGATCTGAACTCAAGAAAGCCAGTAACAGAGAGGAAGGACTGATGATCAAAGGGATTAAGTCTGGGCTGGTTTAACCCCAGGAAACAGCTGACCAGACAAAGGTTAACTCTTGAATCCCAGGCATCAGCCTGGGAATCCAGCATGGGACTGATCAAGACCCCCTGAATCTGGGTGTCAGTGAGGAGGCCTAGGGAATCTATTGAGCCTTGGGCAGCAGATCAGTACCCATCCCAAGTATACACACGGACTTTGGACTCCCATAGAACAATGTGAGGTGCACTCTCACCCTGAACTCTTGGGGAAGGGTCTAGGCCCTGCCCTATATGAAATGACAGACTATGGACACCCCCATGGAGGGCCTCACCCTCCCTGAGGGAATGAGGGGATAACGGGGGGGGGGTGGGTTGGGGGGAGGGCACGGGAGGAGGGGAGGGAATGGGAGAGGGACCTGGAACTGACTTGTGAAGCAACCTCGTTTCTTATCTAAATCTAAACTGGAAAGTAAAATTAAAAAAATGGAGTTTGTGGGAATTTTTGGACTAAGATTAGTAAGGGCCAAGTCTACCTCATTAGAATTAGAACTCCAATATGTACATTTTAATAATATGGTTAACAATCTGTTAGCAACATTTTGTATAGTAAAATTCACAGATCTTGCATGTAAAATTGCATGATGTTTGTACAGCTATCTGTGGGACACCTGGATCAAGAGAGAGAACATGCTCATCATTATTGAAAATGCCTCCATATTGACTTTGGTTCCATCTTTATTTATCATAGATGACCACCTCATATTTCTGCCCTTATAGAATGATTTTGCCTGTTACTTCATTAATTAAAATGATACAATAAATTTCAGTCAGCTTGGTTTTGAGATTCACCTATGTTAGTGTCTTAAGTTTGTTACTTTTTATGAATGAATACTATTTCATTGTATGGACACACCACAGCTTGTTTTATCCACTCATTGATAGACATGCAGGCTATTTAATGTTATGAGCTTTCAGTACAATATCTATAACTCGGGATGTCTGCACATCTACTGTGAAGAGCCCTCTTTCACTACCACATTCATTTAAGTCTCTTTTGTTTTGATCCCTCAAGATAGATGTGAGCCAATCTGAGTCAGCCTTTCCAAGAGTCAGATATTTCACTGATTTTCTCTGGGTTTGACTTCTATTTTATTTCTACTCTTTACATTTTATCTCCCTTCCTCCCTCCCTCCTTTCCTTCTCTCCTCCCTCTCCTTTTCTTTTTTCTTTTTTGCTTTCTTTGGGATTCATTTGTTTTCCTTATTGAATTTCTTAAGTTGGAAACTTAGTTCATTGATTTGAAGCCTTTTCCCCCTGTTTCTATTATTGGTGGTGTTATTATTATTTGCTGTAAATCTCTTTAGAAGTAACATAAACAAAAGGCCCAGGATAGCCAAAACATCCCTATACAATAAAGGAACTTCAGGAGGCATCACCATACCTGACTTCAAGCTCTATTATAGAGCTATAGTCCTGAAAACAGCTTGGTATTGGCACAAAAATAGGCAGGTAGACCAATGGAACCGAATCGAAAGCCCTAATTTTAACCCACACACCTATGAACACCTGATTTTTGACAAAGAAGCTAAAACTGTACAGTGGAAAAAAGAAAGCATCTTCAACAAATGGTGCTGGCATAACTGGGTACTGGTATGCAGAAGACTGCAGATAGATCCATGTTTATCACCTTGTACAAAACTTAAGTCCAAATGGATCAAAGATCTCAACATACATCCAGCCACACTGAAACTTTTAGAAGAGAAAGTGGGAGATACTCTTCAACGAGTTGGTACAGGAGACCACTTCCTAAACATAACACCAGTGGCACAGGCACTGAGATCGACATTTAACAAATGGGACCTTCTGAAACTAAAAAGCTTCTGTAAGGCAAAGGACACTGTCAAAAAGACAAAAAGGCAGGCCACAGAATGGGAAAAGATATTCACTAACCCTACATCTGACAGAGGGCTAATCTCCGAAATTTACAAAGAACTCAAGAAACAAGTCTCCAAAACACCAAAGGATCCACTTGAAAGGTGGGGTACAGAGCTAAATAGAGAATTCTCAGTAGAGGAGGCTAAAATGGCCAAGAGACACTTAAGAAAGTGCTCAACATCCTTAGCCATCAGGGAAATGCAAATAAAAACAACTCTGAGATACCATCTTACTCCTGTCAGAATGGCTAGAATCAAAAACACCGAAGACAATTTATGCTGGAGAGGATGTGGAGAGAGAGGAACACTCCTCCACTGCTGGTGGGAATGCCGACTCATACAGCCTCTTTGGAAATCAGTATGGAGATTCCTCAGGAAAATGGGAATTAATCTACCACTAGACCCAGCAATTCCACTCTTAGGCATTTATCCAAATGAGGCAGGTTCATACAACAAGGGCATCTGCTCTACTATGTTCATAGCAGCATTTTTTGTAATAGCCAGAACCTGGAAGCAACCTAGATGCCCCTCAACTGAAGAGTGGATAGAGAAAATGTGGTACATTTACACAATGGAGTATTACTCAGCAGAAAAAAACAATGGAATCTTGAAATTCGCAGGGAAATGGATAGCACTGGAAGAAACCATCCTGAGTGAGGTAACCCAGTCACAAAAAGACAAACATGGTATGTACTCACTCATATATGGATTTTAGACATGGATCAGGATAGTGCCAGTCTGCACTTCCACAGATAGAGAGTCTGAGAAACAGGAAAGAACCTAAAAGATATGCATATATGCATAGTACCCAAGAGAAGAGGATGGAGACAAGATCCTCTGAATGGATGGGGAACACGGCGAGGGTAGGGGGAGTGGGACCTGGGAAGAATAGAGGGGGTAAAGAGGAAGGGAGTTGGTCATGGGGGAACAGGAAGTTGAGGGGGTGGGGGTAGAATAGGGGGAAGAGGGAATCATAGGATCGAAGACAGATCAGGCACCAGAGTGACCTCGAGTGATCTAAAGGTATAACATCAATTGGCAAGCTAAGCAATAGTGGAGGGACCACCTCGAATGCCCATTCCTGATAATGAACTTGATGTCTATAACCATCCGGGAGCCTTCATCCTGTGACTGATGGAAGCAGAGGCAAACACACAACTAATCACTGAACTGAACCCAAGGAACCCAGTGACAGAGAGAGAGGAGTGATGAGCAAATTGGCAAAGAATGGGCTGGCAAAACCAGCAGAGACAGCTGATCTGAACAGGGGAGTGCTCTTGGACCCCAGACCGACAGTGTGGAGGCCAGCATGGGACTGATCTGGACCCCCCAAATGTGAGTGTCAGTGAGAAGGCCTGGGCAACCTATGGGGCCCTGAGCTGTGGATCAGTGTCTATCCCTGGTATACAAACTGTCTTCATGTGCCTATAGCACAAAGAGAGATGCTCTCTTAGCCTGGACTCTTAGGGGAGTGCCTTGACCCTACCAAGAGTAAAATGACAGACTCTAGATATCCCCTATGTGGAAGGATTTGGCAATAGGGTGGGAGGGAGGGGGGAAGGGGAGTGCGGGAAGAGGGGAGGGTGAGGGAACTGGGATTGACATGTAAAACAAGCTATTTAAAATTAAAATAAAAAATGATAATAAAAAAAGAAGTAACATAAACCCTGATCTGCAATATTTTTTAAGTCAGTATATCTGTGCATGTTCTCAAGATCATTTTTTATTGACTTCTAGTTCAATTCTAGTGTAATAGGAAAAATATTCTCTATGATTTTAGAAGTCATGTGTTCATGCTTATTTTTATGGGCAGAATATGCATGTCATTGGTGATTTTTTTCTCCTTGTACATTAAGAAGAGTATGTATTGTGGTGTTGGGCACTGTGTCCTACACATTGTAACTGAGTAAAGCTCATTAATAAGCAGCTCTCCTATAGCTTCATTAATAAGCATTAATCTATTTTCTTCCTGAGTACTGTGAAAGTAGTTTTGAAGATTTCTATTTGGGGGCTTACCAACTTTCCTCAAGGTTCTGTTCTTGCTTTCTGTATTGTGATGTTCTCTTGATGACTACACGTTGGGAATTGTGTTATAACAGATTTTTTTGACATTTTATCTGCCCCTCTTTATCTATAATATGTTTAGTTTTGTAGGCAGAAGACTTTTGCCTTTTGTTTTGTTGTTGTTTCGTTGGTTTTGTTTTACTAATGTTCTGTTGCAAACGCCTTTTCCTGTTCCAATAAATTCAAACCTATTCCCCACTTAGTCTTCTATCGGGTTCAGTGTACCTGGTTTTATGTTGAGGTCTTTGATCTATTTGAAGTTGAGTTTTGTACAGGGTGATAAAATTGATTTATTTTCATTTTATTACATGTAGCCATCCAGTTTTACCAACACCATTTGTTGAAGATGCTCTCTGTTTTTTTTTTCCATTGTGAATTTCTGGATTCTTTATAAAACAATAATCGGGTGTCCATAGTTGTGTGAGTTTATGTCTGGATCTTCAATTCAATTTCATCTATCAATGAAAGTTAACAGAAACATTTTTAACCACCTGAGACATTGCTACAGGTCTAGAATATGCTTTCAATTTCTGGTTACATTCAAGGTGCTTCTTTTATCCTTAACTTGTATAATTTTTACATTATATATCCCAAACAATACAGGGATGGAATTTGGGCTTTTTTGCAGGAAGTGATGATGAGTATGTAGGTCTATGCATGCTGCCCTAGAGCTGAGTTCAGAAGCTTCATATTACTTCCTATGTAACTCTAACATAGGCCTTGGTCTTAAAGTTGCCCTTATTTAAATTGAGTTGCTAAGCAACAGCAGGTAGATGCAGAAGGTGAGGTTTTCCTGGCTTTATACAGCCCCTATCTTCGTATGGCCCTAAGTAGTTCAGAGTTGATGCCAATGTAACCAGTACTCTTTGTATTCTAAATAAAGGAGATTAGATTCATTGAAGAACAACCAAAGGATCAACAGGTTTTTGAGAAACCCAAGATAGAAGAAGTGGAATCACCTGCAACTGATTCAGAGAAGAGTAAAACACAGAAGAACCAGATCAACTTTGGGAAAAGTCATATGACCAAGAGATTGGAGCCAAGCTTAAAGTGGAGAGCAACTGTTGATTACAAAGGGTATGTAGTTGTTTATATTGGTTTTCAATCCACACATATTTGCCTGATTTTTCCTGGAATTGTGTGTCTTGTTAGAAAATACAGTGTATGATTCCCTGTTTGATTCCCTTTCTCTTCTTTGTATTTCCTAAATGAAAAAATTGTAGCAGTAATAGTGTTTGTGTTCTGACTACTATGATGGGAGAAGAAAAAGCACAAGTCATTTTTGTGTAGTAGGTAAGCAAGAACAAGCAATATGAGAAAGGAAACTTATGCTAAAATACATGGAGAAATAACATGGAGCATGGAAATGTAGTGGTAAAGAGAATTTATGGTTATAGTTACATGAAGTTAGTTCATCAGGAAAATTTCTGTAGCAATATTATAAGCAAAACTTTATCACTATAAGAAGGATAGAGTTTCAGCAATGTTAGCACTCCTATGTAAAATGAACACTGGGATACAGTCTTAGTTAGGGTTGCTATTGCTCTGACGAAACACCATGACCAAAAAGAACTTGGGGAAGAAGGGGTTTATTTTGCTCACAGTTCCCTGTAACAGTTCATTATCAAAAGCAGTGAGCTCAAGAACTCATACTGGGCCAGAACCTGAAGGCAGGAGCTGATGCAGAAGCCATGGAGGGATGCTCCTGGTATTCACTACCATGTGTCACATTTACAATTACGTTCAAAGGGACATAGTTGGCTTAAGAACTGGCTCCTGTTGGTCACACAAGGACCCTTCCTTTTGGGGACTCTGGTGGACCAAGGGTGTGGTTTGTTCCAGCAGTAAATACAGAGGCTCTCCAGGAGGAAGGCTCTGTGGGAAGAGAAAAGGTCGTCACATTTCTGACTTTCCCTGGCTTCTTTACACTTGACCTCTGTGACTCTACAGAAATACTCTCTGAGAAACACATGTGAGTCTCTGCAGATGGGGAAGTGGATTTTATAAGTGTTGCCTTTAATTATGAATTTCTGCAATAAGCATTTAATGAAAGCTGAGTATGCGCTAAGGGCCATGCTAAGCCTAGAAATTCCTGAAAATTCGGGTGAGCCACTATTGCAGAGTTGGCCAGCAAGGGTGAGAAACTATAGTGCCTGTGACTGAGAGTGGTAAACACGCTGAGGGGAGGCGTAGGATGATGTAGTCACTCAGCATGGCAGCCTGTGAAGACCCTGCTACTAGTTCCTAACATAGCTGGACAAAGAGCTGCTGCACAGAGGGCTGCTGCTTATTTTATTGTTTTAAGATAAAGTCTGGAGCCCAGGGTGGCCTTGAACTTGGTCTCTGGAACGCCTAGATTACAAGTGTGTACAACCACTGCCAGCATGGCAAACAGCACACAGCATTTCTTCCATATATAAAACACACATCTGTGCTTGGAGAATGAACAGGCACCTGCAAGTGTGAGGTGAAGCTGGAATGTGCTAATCAGTGTGAGGAAAATTCATTGTTTGGCTTCATGAAAGTGCTGGAGCTGCCAGGCGGTGGTGGCACATGCCTTTAGTCCCAGCACATCGGGAGGCAGAGGCAGGCAGATCTGTGTGAGTTCGAGGCCAGCCTGGTATACAGAGGGAGTTCCAGGACAGGCTCCAAAACAACACAGAGAAACCCTGTCTCGAAAAACCAAAAAAAAAAAAAAATGCTGGGGCACTGTTCTATTCACCAGCACAACATATTAAAGCTCTGTTTTGTTATTTATTTAGCCACAAAAGCTCTGTAAAGGATAGCCAAGAGGAAAAACAAGGAAAAATTGAAAAGTCAACAGCATCTGTCTCCTCAGGCCGTACACAGTTACTCCGGTAAGTTTCTGTTGGTAAGGCCATGTCCTTACAGCCACCCACACAGAATGGCCAATTGCCATGCTGGTTACAGGACTGCTTAGTACTGTACAAGGGCCCCAGGTACTTAACATATGGATGGTTACTAGTGATGTTAGTAAAAGAGAGGGTGCCCGGTTGCTTTAAATATATCCTAGTATATACTTCTATTGTAGTATGTTCTTCTATTACAGGGAATGCTCACTACTTACTGACTCTAAAGAGATACATCTAAGATGTAGCTATGAACATCGGGTGTGATTTTCAGTTTAATGAAGAAACAAGATAATGAGAAGGGTTGGCCATTTGTGTTGAAGGGTTTCAGTGCAGTGGCAGGAAGAAGGGAGAGATTCTTACAGAAACATTTGCACACCTGGGCTGAAACACAGTCTTTAAGACCCTGAACTACACTGATGTTAGCTTTACCTTTTGTTTCATTATAGTAAATGTATTCAGTGTGTTTAAGAACTTCTAACGCTTTTTATTTTGAAATAATTATAGACTGCTAGGAAACTGCAAAGGTAGTGTACTCGGTATCTTGCACCCAGCTTCCTCTAGTACAATCACAATACCAGGATATGAACATTGCTTCAGAGTGTATGTCAATTACCTGTGTATGATGGGGTAAATTTACCCCGTACTGTAATGAAGACGGCAATCAGAACACAGAACTTTACCAGCATGTGGGACTCCCTAGTGTTACCCCTCTACAGCCACAATGATTTCTTTGTTTCTAACTCCAGCCAACTTTTTTCCAGGGTAATAGGAAGTATTTAAGGTTTGAGTGCCATTTCAAACACTGCTTTCTGTTTATCTCTACTGTTTTCACCCTTTCCCTCTCTTTCTTTGGATTAATTAAGCATTTTGATTTGTCAGTTGTCTTTTTGAATGCATCTCTTTTTCGTAGCTCTGCATTACCTTTGCTGTGTGTGTGTGTGTGTGTGTGTGTGTGTGTGTGTGTGTGTGTATGTAGTAAATACAATTTGCCATTGTTGGCTTTTAACAGACGTGTAGAAACCTTGCCTTCCTTCTGAGGCTCACAAGGTGTTGAGATCATCTGCTGCTCATATGCCAGTTGTGGTATTATTGTTACAGCCCTGATTATGCTGTAGCTTACACTGTGGACTTGTTGTTCTTAGCAAAGGTGGCGAGAAAGTTGAGGAGACTGCCAGTGAGAGCTCCTCAGAGAGTGAAGAGGATGAGGAACCTCCAGACCACCGGCAAGAAGCCAACGCTGACCTGCCGTCGGAATACTGGCAGATTCAGAAGCTGGTGAAATATTTAAAAGTAAGAAAAACCTTCCATGTTTACAGTATTCAGTGGAAGCCCATTTCTAAGCACATGTGCCTCTTAAATAACAGCAGTGTGCACTGTGGTTGTCATTTAAATAGACACAAGAGAAGATCTTATTGTTCTGAGGAGTCAAGTTTAGACCTCAGAAAGTATGACCTGACTGGGACCAGTTCTCTCTCCTGCTGAATATGGGAGGCAGGTGGGGATGGGCGTGGTCAACAGCAGGTATTGACTTAGTCTGTGCTTTATGATTTTCATTTGGTATGGTAAGAAGAGCATGGAGCTCTGAAGCTTGATCTAACTTAACTTCTAACCTGTATTACTGGCTAGCGGGTGATTATTGCAAAGTTGCGGTGTAAGCCTTAAAAAGCCCCAACTTGTGCAAAGAAATGGATGATACCTGTACCACAGGACGTTCCAAGATTGAGAATCACAACTGGAACCTGTATCATACCATGTCATACGTTGGAGGTGCCGACAATATGCTCTGGCTTGCTTACATCTCTCTCCAGTCAGGTGGCATGGAAATACCTTACATGATGTCCAGTCCATAAGGGGTATATAAATATTTGGATTGAGGACAGGGCAAGGAAAATGGGTTGTCACAGACAAGACTGACATTCATTCTTGGTATACTAAAGCCTTCTTTAAGGCTGAAGCCCAAAAATATGGGTGAAAAAAATGGGACAGAACATTATGACTATCTCTTGTTTCCTTCCATATCTTTGGCTAGATTGGCCAAGGGTATTGCATATTTAAAGATGTTTATGTGACACCTAACCAGTGTCCTTTTCCATCCTTCGAATAACCTTGAGGCAGTCTGAAAAACAGCCTTCATGCCTGGTTTTGTGGCTCTGACAGAGGCCCTCTAAATGGATGGTCTTGAGGGTGTGGAAGAGCCAAGGAAAAGTCTGCAAGAAAAATGAGCTGCCTTCTGCTAGTGGGCATTCCTTCAGTGGGAACTGCCAGAATTTCTTAGAAAAAAGTTTTCCTGAATCCCGAATACCCAGAAGAATTAGTGATGACACTGAAATATATTTTAATTCTCCCTTGGGAATTCTGGTTCTCAGTCTCCTCTGATGAGAATAGCGATAATGTTACTGGATGTTTCAGGATGTCCTGACAGTCAAAGGCAAACGCAGGCTTCTCTAGGCACTGGACAGGGCAGGTCCACATTGGAACAGCAGCAACCACAGTCTAATTAGCCTTTTCTGCGTCTGTTTTGTGCTCTGAATGTGTATCTGCTGCTAACCTGACTCATTCTTGCAAAAGTAAGTACTGATGGGCTAGAGAGATGGCTCAGCCAGTAATGTGCTTGTTGTACAAGCATGAGGTTATGCATTGGGAGCCCTGGAACCTATGAAAAGGCCAGACATGGTCACATAGATCTGTAATCTGGGGCAGTGATGGAGACAAGCAGATCTCAGGAGCTTGTTAACCAATCAATGAGTTGAGCCTATCTCACAAGGTGTAGGCTAAGGGAGAAGAACAATAAATGGTCCTACCCAGCTGTAAGCCTATGACTTCAAAAATGACTTGCCTGGCAAAATGACCCCAGTGGAGCAATAATGTGACATTTTACCTGGAGCTAACAAATAACAGTATAATTGTACTTAGGACCTGGCAAATAGGAAGGAATTCATGCCTGGTACTATAAACCCAGTCAGCTGCCAATGGCTGGATAGATTATAGACCCTAGAGGAGAACTTGCTACTGCCATTTTCCTTAGCCAATATATATTTCTAACTGTATCCTAAATTCTGATTATTATACTCACAGTAAGGGTAGTTCTTCCTTCTCATTACAGAAACTTCTTTTGCAGCAGAGATCCACAACTGGTTCTAATACAGAAAATAAGTGATCATGGGTTCCCATTCCCTCTTGGTACATCTATAAGGCAACCTAAGGCTTAGGGAAAATTGTAGAAGATGAGACAGAAAGATTGTAAGAGCCTGGAAACCAGGACACCTGCAGTGAGACCGTGTGTTATATATCTTAAAGGGACTTTACATTCATGAAATCTGAACAATATGGTTGTCTAAACAAGACCTGCCTAATGGCAACTCCAACTGACATGGTAGTATGGGTGAGGAAAACTGCACAGGGCCCCGCCCCTAGGTGAAGAGCGGCAGACAATGGTTAATTAGAGAGGAAGAATCAGCTTTCCTCAGGGATGTGCATCCTTAGAATTTATTCAGCTCTAATGAGGTCAGCTCTAAACACATATATATATGAGCAACATTAAGTGAACTCAATTGGTTTATGTACATATATATGTAACAACAGTTAAAGACATTATGAATTTGAGAGGAAGGTAGACATAGGAGATTTGGGAGATGGGAGGATGAGGAGTGGAAATAGTGTAAATTCAGTACTCATAGATGAAATTCTTAAAAAGTTAAACTAAAAAGTAAGTGAAAAAGCAATACTGGTTGATTAGATGTCAACTTTTAGCCTCTACACATATATACAAATACCACACACACCTCAAGTAACATTTGTTATAATTTATCATATCTACTTGCAGTATTAATGTACTTTGTGCTATAATTTATTCTTTGTGTGTAATTTAACAAGATAAATGCAAAGAGTGTTGACACACATTCTGTCCTGAAATGAGTAAATTAGAGCCTAAATTAGCAAAATTAATCTGAAATCTAATTTCTTGAATCAAATTTTAATGGCTAAATCAAAATTAAGGCTAGCAGATAAAATATTTTACCATGTTTACCTGACTATATCCAAAGATATATTACTCAAAATATCATGATACTACTGTAAGGACAGGCCCAGTGACCAAGAGAACAGACTAGAGCCAAGTAAAGACTCACAATGGAGAAAGATCATCTCTAGTCACTTTTCTTGGGAAACTGAAGATACATGCAAAAAAATGAAATTAGAGACTCGGGATGTATCTCAGTGAGGAAAGAGCTTGCTGCACAGGCTGAGGACTGGAGCCCAGGTAAATGGAGGGAGCTGGAATTAATCATTCCGAGTGAGGCAACATAGACCCAGAAAGACCAATGCTGCCTATTCTCTCTCATATGTGGATGCTAACTTTGAATCTTACATATGTATATGTAAATTGGAGTACCCATAGAAGGCAATAAACCAGTAAGGAGACATGCGGTGGGGGTGGTGGGGAGATTGCCTGAGAATGGGGATAGCATTCAGGTGGTATGACAAGACAGGGGATAGTAGAAATGAAGGGTTAAATGAGGTAGGAGATGGCAGATCAGGGCAGGGGAGAGAGGGAGTACAGAAGGGATAAGTAACACTGAAGACCTTTGAAACTCCATATGGAAACCTACTTTAGGATAAATGGAATTAGTTTATGTTGGAGGAGAAAATACCTTTCCCATACATTGCAGTACTATGGTACAAGTTATGGATTACTTCTTTTCAAGGTGTTGGTCAGTGAGGTCCCAAGGACACCCCTTCCCCAACATTACAGGCTATTTCAATTGCTCCTGGTTATTCTGGAACTTGATGATAACACCATATTACTGAAAACACCATATACTTGAGTTGTAGAACACGAAAAATATCAAGCTGGTACTGGTCTGGAAGCCTCATCCCTATTGACTAACTTTCATAGTTTTGAAATTTTCTGTGCATATTCCCAGAAAGAACAGTCACCAACTGTGAACCCCATGAACTACAATAATGATTGACATGGCTCAACAATGGTACAGATATTATGGGAGTAATCAACCACTTCCTAATTGGATTTAAGATCTTCTCCACAAGAGGGACTTCATGGCTAGTACAACTGACTGGATGGAAAACCCATGGTTGGATAGGTCATAGGTGCAGAGTAGGACCTAATACTATTATTCTGCTACATGGACATAGTATTAAACTTACCCCCATGTTCTTAGCTTTACACCCATAGATCAGAGAATCTCAGCCTTCATCAGAGGAGCCTCTTTTTGCAGCAGATGGTGATTAAATGAAACAAAGACCCATAGCTGCCCTATATGCAAAGGATAAGTTACTGTATAGTGCTCATGTCTAAACAGGGAGTGTGTATCACACATCCTCCCTACAAGGCTCAAGGGTGGTCACAAAGATTGGGTGTAAAGATTGCAAGAGCCAGAGGTAGTGGATTATTGCAGTGGAACAATATTTTTCAGACACGAGAGGTATATTGAACACATGAGTTCCCAGCATCTGTGACTTCATGAATAAAATCATGCCAGCAAAAATCCCTTTGTGTGTAGGGGAGGGCCTCTTGATGGCCTACGTCTAGCAATTTACAGTTGATGGCTGCTGGAAAAGAGTCGGTTTTCTTCAGCGATGTGTCTCCTAAGACATTATCTGTGTATGCCCTAGTGATGGCTCTGAATGTAATTGCTGCATTAAGTAGACTCCTTGGTTTGTTTGTTTGTTTTGTTTTTAAGAGTATATGAATTTGGAAAGGAATCGAGGGAGGATAGGAATGAATTGAAAATGAAGGAATGGTGGAGGTTGATCAAAACACATTCTAGGCACATATGAAATTCTCAAACAATAAAAAAGACACCCTATGCTAACCTCTGGCCTCCACACTCATGTTCACAGGAGCATGCACAAACATGTATATTCATGTTCATGTAAACAAGAGAATACATACAAATATAACATAAATATACACATGCAAAAGATAAAAGGAGGATATTGGAGTCTTCTTTCACACCACATACAAAAATAACTGAAAATGGAACACCTGAAATTGTAAGGCTATTAGAGAAAAGGCAAGCTGTTCTCTTAGACAATGGCCTGGGTAAATATTCCTTCTTCTTTAATTTTATTTTTGATTTTTTAAAATTTCATTTTACATTCCAACTACAGTTCTACCTCCCACCCCTCCTGCCACCCCCCTTGCCCATCCCCATCCACTTGTCCCACAGGGTAAGTCTTCCAATGTAGAGTCAACAAAGCCTGGCATATTAAGTTAAGGCAAGACCAAGCCCCCACCCATTAAGATTGAGCATGGTATCCCAACATAGGGA